CACGGTCAATCGATCGTCTCGCCGAACTACCGTACGTTGACCAGAGTTGTTCTTCCTGTTTTTTTCGGTGCTGGTCAGTGATCCATTCGCTAATCACCTGGCTGAGAGTAGGGACTACCGAGTTGTTCCGTGGCATGCCGTTTGCTGTCGCCGCCTTCTGCGCGCTCTTCTCGTACATTGCCTTCTGCGTTTTGGCCAGCATCGATCTTCGAGTTCGTCTTCCCTTAAATAGAGACATTTTTACGATTGACGTCTAGCAACTCTCTGCGAGCGTTCACCAGACTTGCGTCTATGCCTTATTCGTGTTGTCACATTCAGTTCAGCGATATAAAAATTAAAGTAGTCGCAAAGGCGACATTACTTCACTCTACTGTTATATTTGCTTAACTGCCGCAAATTGCCCTCTAATTAACCTGTCCACCTCTTCAGTACTAATGACCCTGCAATACTAGCCAATGTCAAAAAATTTTTAATTTTTACCTGGCGTCGTAACAACGTTCATAAGTCATTTTACCAATATGTTGCAGTGTTCATTGTATGACTTATTGTAAAACATGATTAACAGATATGCCAAAGTTCGCTGTATAACAACATTAATCATTTTTGACATTGTCGTTAAGCATTGACATGAAATGTGGTTTTTACAGTGCTCATTCTTGATACACAATGGAGAAAGGTTTGATAATGTCGGATGTTCTATATGCTTTGTCCATCTAGTCATCAGTTTGTCCTCGCAAACAGCCCGTATTGGAGTATCGAGTCTGACATCCTGATCACCCCTCCATCCATGGCAATTGTGATCTCTTCGCTTGAAGAAGTATTCTGGCGGTTGCCTTGCTCTAAAGTTTATCCAGCTTTTTCACTCTACCAAGCGTTCGAAGCAGCCTATTTTCTGCCGCTTGTATCCGCCATCGCTTCCTCACGTAATATCCCATGCTCCATTATTGGTAAAGGTGGAAGCGTAGTCGGAATCGAAGGCCGGTAGCTTTGCACCTAAGACTGAATTCTCAGGACAAGGGAAAGGGTCTCATTCAACACGCTTCTACTTAGGCCTGATTATAACAGTCATTTGTTTTATAAATTCGCCAGCACAGAGTTACTTGCCAGTTGCTTCAGGATGATTGAGCAGATCTAAAAATTCCATATATTAAAGCCATATCCATATATATATTAAAGCAATCCCCAGCTCCCATGGACATGTAGACAATGACCCTTTTTATTATAGCCAAGAAACTTGCAGAGTTATGTTCATCTTCCATCGCCGCTTCTCCTTTCGAGTCGCGGAAGCAGACGCATATACGGAGCTTCCATGGTTCTCGATCCCGCCCCAGAGTCTAAGCTTCGGCGCAAGACAGTGGAGTCTAAAAAAGATTCCTTCCACATATTTGCACCAGGTTAATCTCAGCCGTCCCCTGAGCCTTCTGCCGGTCGGCATGGCAAGAAATAGTTCCTTAGCTCTCCTTTCTGGAGGCACTCGCAACACATGCCCAGATCACCGCAGCTGTGACTTCTCAATATGGAGAAGCAGATTGTTGTACACCAGTGTTCTTCCAGCTATCAGTATTCCGGACCATGTCGAGACGCGTAAGGCCAGCGACTCGTCAAAGAAGGCCGATTTCAGCAGCTTGTACCCGGGTTCCAAGTTTTTCAGTGATGGTCCACTCCACTATTCAGACCATAGCTAAGCATGGGGATAAAGGTCGACTTGAACACCGAGAGCTTAGTTTTCACTGAGCTCTGCTTTGTTCACAGTGAATCAGGCTAGTTCACGCAGAACGCTGCCATTGATTACTCCAATTCGCCAGTCAATCTCTTCCTCGGATTTGCCATTCCGAGGTACTTGAGCTTCTCCACTTGCTCTACTGCCTCTCCGTCAGTCTGAAGACAGCAACGGGCAGAAGAACGAGAAAGCACTAGGCTTCTCGTTTTAGATGCGTTCACATGCACGCCGGTCGCATTGCACTCGGCTGCGAACCTTTTTACGGAACACTGAAAATCAGTTTCCAATAACTGCTAATAAAACAACGCCGTCTGCAAACAGCAACCTTCTCGTCTTCACATCTCCTACACCGATGCATTCGTCGTAATGGCTGCTCCTGACAGTTCTCTCTATGTACGACCCACACAGGATAGGGGACAGGCCACAGTCTTAACATTTCGACTTAACTCCATTTAGTCCAACGTAGCACCTGCTATCAGAATAAAGTGATTGAATAGCCCTTACCAGCTGGCCATCCATCTCGTGTACTGGAAGGCACGACCACATACTGTTGCGAGGGATCCGGTCATACGCTTTTCTAGGTCAACAAAACGTACACCGCACTGGCGTGCTCCCACGATTTCTCAACAATCTGGCGCAAGGCAAATATGTGGTTAGAGGTGCTTCGACCGGCCCGAAGCCACTCTGCTCTTGTATCTTGAGGTCAGTTAATTCGTGGCACCTCCTGGCATCGTTGCGTAGACTTTACCTAGGAGTCTAAATAATGTATTGCCCCTATAACTGAAGCATTCCTTGTGGTCTCTTTGAATACGAGTAGAGTAACTTCCGTTCTCCAGTCTGCTGGTGTCTTTCCCGCACTCATCGCAGTTTGACAGACACGTGTAATTCAGAACATGCCTTGTTCGCCTAATGCTTCAGCATTTCAGGGCGCATTTCATCAACACCAGCAGCCTTTCCATTTTTCAAACTTTTCATACCATGTTTGATTTTATCTACAGGATAGTAATATCCGTTCTCTGCTGCTCCACAGGCGAGTCTTCCTGCGGTTCCGCGGGATTAAGGAGTTCCTCAAAATACTCTCCATCGGCGAATAATATCTTGATCCTTTGTAACAGGGTGTCCAGACCTGTCCTTCAGGACTCTGAGACTGCCTTTCATTTCACCTCGAAGCCGTCTAATGGTCTCCCGGAATACCTTGTTTGCTTGATAGAAATTGGACTCCAACACCTTCCCGAATTTCCCCCGGTAGTTAGCTTTGGCTTTCGCCGCTACTTTTACTGCCGCCTTAACATGCTTCGACATGTCTCGTGTGAGTAGAAAGCTCTTTGTTTCCGAGCCATTTCTTTATCGCTGCCTTCTCTTTAACTGCCAGTTGTATCTCTCTTGTTCACGAGGAAGATCTTTTCTTACCTGCACGCGTCAGGCCACCCGTTTAAATCCGCAGCATTCTGCGGCTGCTCTTAAAGAGCTGCCACTCGGTTTCCACATGTGTGGTCATTCCCGGGATCTGTCCAAACAGTGGTGCGATGTTGTTTTCTAGTTTCGTTCTCGTGTCCCCGAAGATAATGTTTCCCATTTCGTTCTTTGGTTGTTTCTGGCATCAGATCTTCGTGTGGTACTCCACTTCTTACAGCACAGCGTGCCAACAACAAGGTGGTGATCTCTTGATACCTCTGCGTCTCTCTTAACGCAAACATCCATTACTGAGCGTCTTAAGTCAGACGACGCGATTATCAAATCGATCATCGACTTCTGTGCTCAAGCTTCCCGGTGTGATACTGATGCACTCTTCGATGCTCGAAGAAGGTGTGATAATGAGCAGTCCGTTGTTTGCACTAAACTGCAATAATTTCATCCCGTTATTGTTGAGATTGCTAGGCTCGTTTCTTCCAATTTCTCTGTTCCATTTTAGCGGCTACTCCGACATGCGCATTAATATCGCCCTTGAGTATCAGGGACTCTCTATTGGGCACTTCGGACAGAGCACACTGCGCTTCTTGATTGAACGTTATATTCTCCCTCCACATTCAGCGCATAGAGCTGTACCGAGGTAAACTCTTTAGCCTGCTGTAGCTTCAGTCGGCGGATTTCCTCCCTTCGTCTGTCAGTCTTCCAGTCAGTGATTCTATCTGCGAGGTTGGATTCTACCAGAACGTCAACACCCGCCCTGAGCACGCGTCGTTGCCGACAATGAGTAGAATGACTTCCACCCGCTGATGTTATGCTTAGAGCCTTGGCGCTTTTCTGGCAAAGATCCAACAATGTCGAGTTGGTACTATGTGGCATCATCAGCTAACTCTTGTTCTTTCCCTGTA